AGAAACCAAAACTTAATAAAATTAAATAATTTAAATATTTAAGAATCAATATATATTGCTTTATTCAAAAATATAAAGTTTATTTTTATTTATAATGTAAATATCGAGAAAAAATAATTTTAAAAACCATCATTTTTTAGCAAATATGGGTGTACTAAATTTAGTATACTATTAAAAGTTATCAGGTGACTTACTATAAAAAAAAATTAAAATATGCTTTTAGAAAATGATATAATAAACCTTAGATAATAAATAAAAAAAATTTTAACCTTGTAGTATATGTCAGATGGATATGCTGGGCCTAACAATCTGTACACATTCCTCGTGAAATTATATAGCTACAACAGGTAGTTGTACGTTTATGACAATTTATACATTGGCGTTGAACATATTTATTGAGTTTTGAGATTGCCGGATCTCTATTAAGGTTTGTAAGATGATGTTCAAAATTATCTGAATCTTGTTTTCATCTTTTTTTGGTTCGATCGGCAATTGTATTGTCCGAATAACAATTGAAGATTGATTTTGCTAATTGCTTGCGAAAATCAACGTGTTTCATATTTTTTTTTCCCGGAACAAATCTACAATATGCAGAGAAGCTATTTGCCTCTGCAACTGTAAGATAGAAGGCAAAAACACGATCTGCAGAGCATTTTGATCCAAGAATCTCATGATAAGAAAGTGAATTATCAAGCAATTTATTAAGTATGTCTACAGCTGATCTAAATTCATTATACTCATCAAATACAATAGGTCGATGGAATGTTGCATTACCATAACCCTTAATATATCGATTTATTTCTGTTCTGAGAGTTGTTGTAGAATAACTAGCAAGAAGTACGATATCTTTGCGATCACGAATTGAATATACAGTAAAGTCAACATCACTTATTTTGCAAACTTGACTAATAGATGACCCATATGTATTTTCAAGTACACCTGTAATATCATTAGGGATATTCTTAGGCCAATAACAACGTTTCTTTATCTATAGGATAGAATAAAGACTATGTTTATATAAAGTAATGCATGTATCTGTGCTACTAAACCACGAATCAGCGATAATTGTTCTACCACTACGAAACTATGGTTCTACTAATCTTAACATAGATGCAACAACTGCTACGTATTGATCTGAAAATTTTTTTTTCATAGCATATTCTGAAGGTTCCGCTGGGTCTAATCTTAAGAATAAATTAATTTGAACATCTGCAAGAGCTTTGAATTCACATCCAATTGGATGCGGCTTTCTGGGTATTTTTCGTTGAAATGGACCTTTGTCAACTTTGCCTATCCATTGACACATTGATTCATCTATGCAAAGATAAGGACCAGGTAGAATAGCTTTTGTAAGATTTTCATTAAATTCATCATGAAACTGCCGTGCAAAATGAAAGGGATCGTTATTTGTTGGTATATCTATTAATGTCAAATATTTTATGATATTTCGAAATTGTTGATGTGACATGTATTGACCAAATGCTAGTAAAACTCCAGCCATTTCTTGTTTAATGGACCAATAATCGCAAATATCAACACATTTTACATACGTCATAATTGTTAAAATGCCAATAAACTTTATAAATTCTGGCCATGTTAAATTACTCCATCCACATTCACATTCACGCGCACATCTATTTGTAGATGAAATTACTACTGACATTATAAAATCAACAGGTATAAAATGCTCAAAAAACTGTCTAGGCGTTGCATTAGAGATATTGGCAATGTGTACAACTGGTGTACTGGAATAGGAGCGTGACACTTGATGAGAATTAATAGTAACAATTTCATTGGCCTATCGTACGTTATTAATGTTACGAACATCTATAGCTTCTCCATCCTCAAAACTATCATCACTATTACTTGAAATATCTGTTTCGCTACCACTTATTCGCTCTTCATCACTTGTATCTTGATTGGTATCTGAACTAGTTGTAGGAAAAGCCACAAACTTTATACGGCCCACTGAGACCTCAATTTCATTTTCTGGTTATGAATTGAGGCAAATTATCCAGCGGTTATTACCTGGTGCTACTCGTAAAGCTGTTGCTGAAAGTCATTTAGTTTTCCATAATTCTCCCAAAAGTGCTTGAGCGATTTTTTCACCCACAATAGAGCCCAAAACAGAAACCTTGGCATCTTCTCTAATATTCGAAGAAATTCGTCCCATTTTAAAGGTTAGATAAAGAAAGAAAAAATTCAAAACGAGGAAAGAACTTTTATATTTCCATACATACCTTTACTACATTATACTAATAAGCATTCACATTTAAACAATACAGCAATATTTCGCAACCGGTTTCAATTTACATTGAGAAATCACCTTATTTATTGATGTACAAACTATGT